AGAATTTAATTGAAAGCTAGTTAAACATCATAATCAAAAATATTTCTTAATGATAAAAAATATTTCTTACGTATATTTATCCTATTAACGTTAAAATTGCATATCTTGTTTTATTATTATTTATTTATAATGTTTATTTTTTACTAAATTTCAATTTTAAAATTTTTCGATTTAAATATTGAAATCAATCTTCAATATCGTTGCAAACAGAAAATTGACAAAACATTAACTGCTATTGCTTTGTAATGCATAATAATTGACAGTTATGCACAATGCAAGCACTTATCTCAAAAGGCTGAACGCTCTCGACATTTTTCTATCGAGCGGATTCCATCTGCGAACGAAAGAGATTACCTGCGAAAATGTGACCGCCGGATGGCCAGAAAAAGGCCTTTGCGAGATAGGCGTACTCGTGTGCTCAATAATAGCAATATAAATTTTTACAGACCGAAAAAGGCTATCAAAAAAGCAAAAGAACTTTTATTATTCAGAGTGACTTATTAAAGTATATTTAAATACGAGAATGTATTTTTAATTTTAATATGATATTATATATATATTTAATTTTAATATTAATTTTAATTTTAATATTTTTTTTATGATTCCATCTCTCTGCGAATTTAATCTTATTATCTAAATGATATTGAAATAAGTAATATATTTATAATACTATAATATAACAAGATATTTTTGGATCGAGATAATAAAGAAAATAAAGAAAAAAAGAATCTCATAATGGAACTATCATATTTATATTCTTTCTAGTGTTTTTTAAATTTTTATTTATATTAAGGATTTGTACTAAAAGATTTTTGAATTGTACATTATATGCTTTTACAATTTGTGAATCAGTAAATCAGAAAGCTTAAATCGGTAAATCGATTTTTTTCTAACGATGAAAATAAAATAATATGAATTATTGTAACAAATTATTGCAAATTGTATAAGTTTTTCACGCGCATTTTGTGCTAAAATTAATGTGCACCGATGCAAATCGAACATTGAGATACATACATACGAAATTTGAGATTAGAGCATTAGTTTCCGGCGAACAAACTCCTTTCGGCAGAGCATCGTGACCATTGTTCACGCGCTAGGTATTTGCGGAAAGCTACTATGTCCAAATATCGTCCACTATTCCGACAACTGTCTAAGTAATTCGCTGGAGTTGCCTGGCAATGGATTCAATACTCAGAGGGTGAAAGCCATTTCGAAGCACAACATCAGATAACTGTATAAAGAACAGGTTGCCGACACCCTAATTCAAAATACAAAGTACTCGAAAATATTTAAAGTTCAAACAATCACGTGATGCAATTAACTGAATTGCCTTGGAAAAGCTGAGATTGTTAATGTTAGTTGAACATAGAATCAATTAATAACTGAACTTTTTTCTCGTTTTTCACGTCACGGTTAAACTGAACATCAAAATTCACTAGCCATCTAACATATTATAAAATATGTCAGTAACCATTGAATATCTATTCAAATGTACGCTACGTCAAAGATCACTGTGACTTTATACCAAAAGTTCGCGAGCTTTGTCTTTGGGATTTCTGCGCCTCGTTTTTCATCTCGTCACATCGCTAGAGAAGTGAACATCTATCATATGGATCGACGCGTAACCGTCGCCGTGGACTTGCGACAAGCGAAATCGATACCCGTCAATTCCCAATGAGCGCCGATCAGGCCGTTTCAGCAACCTCATAAATAATGAAGCACATGCAGATATCACCATCGTGGTAAACCATATATGCCGAGCCGTTGTGCCGCGAATTTGCCGATTTTACGATGGTTAACGATGTGTGATGGCATCTATATCTCGTACCCTTCCGTCCTCATAATCGATTAAAATATCGCGCGATTATCTTGCGTAACTTATTCGGGATCGTATAAAAAGAATAATGTACCGCGTCCTGTGATAACCAATGCTGTTTAACTTTCGAATCATCGAATTACGAAACTTAAGTCTGTGTAGAGTTCAATACTGTGATATTCGATTATTTCTGCACAAGAGATCTAACATAACAGCTGTTTCTTTTTGCATGTCAAGTCACTTATGTAAAAGTTATATTCAAAAAGATACTTTTATATGCAACACGATTGTAACGTTCTTGCTTTTACCCGAAAAATATGTTATCATAATAAAATATATATGTATACTTGTATTGTACCTTTGTAACATTTTTTGGACAAAAGCAGAAATATTGCAAATATAAAATATATTTGATTTTTACGATAAAGAATATCTTTCTAATAGAAAGTTACATTTTACATTGACACGCAAACAATGCAGCGCCAACAATTTATCATATTAATATAATGAAGAAAAGAATTGTTCGAGAAGATATTTGAAATGTATTTCAATAAAATCTAAATTCATGAAAAGACCACAGAATAAACAGGGAGAGAAAAGAATATATAAAAATTAGAATAAAATAATATTAATTTTATAAATATTGTAATATGTGAAATTTTCAAGTATTAAGTTATACAACATGCATATTCGCGCGGAAAGTAAATTCAGTAACCAAATAAATTTATATGCTTGCATATGTTTGCATCAGAGTACGCGAAACATGCGCTCTTGGCGTAAATGCGATGTGGATTGTACTGTACTAATGCCTAACAGGTATTACCAATAACCATCCTATAGGAAACGTATTAGTCGATATCGTATGACAACTAACGGATGACATTGTTATGTAATGATGATTTGCCGTAATGCAAATATCATCTAAATTAGATCATAATAAATATCTCATTCCTATCAGATGTAGCATCACAATACAAATCTTTATAAATGTATTTTGACTTTCATAATTATCATGATAATTAGGAGTCATTAATTCATATTATTATATTCATATATATTATGAAACGCAAAAGTATAATATGTATAATTGAACATGTGATTTCATTTCGCGTTTATATGTTATTAAAAAATTTTTAAACAGTAATTATTTACCTTTAAGAGGCTTTAATGATCATTAAATTAAAGAGTGAAAAATATTAATTAATATTAATTTATTAAATATAAATTACAT